AAAAAAAAGAGTAAATAACTAAGATTTCCAATGGATTTCTGAAATAGGCAGCTAGTGTTCTACCATCCATACTATGACCCTGTCCCTAACACCTCTGGCCATATTTTACAACTACTCTTTATTAAACGCTATTTATATGTCAAGCACTGTAACAAATACCATATTCCCAATCCTCAAAAACATTCTGCTAGCCCCTATTACTCTTTCCTATTCTTTTTTTTTTTTTAAGATTTATTTATTTATTATGTAGACAGTGTTCTGCCTGCATTGTGTCCCTGCATGCCAGCAGAGGACACCAGATCTCATTAGGGATGGTTGTGAGCCACCATGTGGTTGCTGGGAACTGAACTCAGGTCCTCTGGAAGAGCTCTTAACCTCTGAGCCATTTATTTCTCCAGCCCTCTTCCCTGCTCTTATCACTTACCCCCAAGGACAGCTCGGCTGGGAAGACTGCCCTGGTCAACAATGGCTGAGTTAGAAGATGGATCTGTTTTGTCTGGATCCAAAGCCTATGCTCTCCCCCTCAACAGAGTCCCCTGACTGACTTCACATCCTATCATATACCTTCTTTCTTGTCAATCCAAGGTCATTAGTTGAGGTGATCAGGCAAGAAGAAAAGCCAGACACAGTGCCGTTATACCAATAATACCAATACTTCAAAGGCTGAAATACACAGGCAGGGTTCTCAAGAAGAGGAGGAGAGCAAAAAAAGAAAAGAAAAAGAAAAAGAAACAAACAAAAACCACTAATAACCTAATTTAGTGAAAAATCTATTTTAGCATTTATTTATAAAACAGGGTCTCAATAAATGGCCCAAATTGGCCTCAAATTTAAGACCTTGCTGCCACAATTTCCCAAGTGCTGGGATTACAGGACTGCACCACCACACACAGCTAATTCTGACTATTTTTAAAGGAAATCATATTACTTCCCATTGCTAAGTAAAGCTCTTTTCACGGGTCCATTTCAATGAACATTTAATGGTGTATTAAATTTCTGCGGAGTAGACAATGGTCACCCAAACCATGGGTGAAATTCCTGAGACATTTAATCCCCACTGCCTTTCCAGTGCCCAGATCAATATCTAGCATAGAGAAAGCATTTAAAATAAATAGCTGAAATTAATAAAATGACCAGAATGCACTTCCTCATCACTGGTCTGTCCTCTCTGCTCTAGGGCACGGTACACCTGCCACAGTTAACAGAGGAACTCTGCAAACCTCCCCAGCTTTCCTTCCCCGTCAGGTTCCACAAGCCACAGAGTGACAGCTCTTACCCTGCTGTGGGAGTGGATACAATACCATCCATGGCATACATGATTAAATAGTGAGTCCAAAATAAACAAAGGCCCCGGGAGTCTGGCCTTTCCAACCAGACCTACAGCCTACTCCTCTGCAGGGGCACCTGAAGTTGTAGCTTTAAGTAACCTCTTCCTCCTCCCAGACCCACACCCAGGAAATCAGAAATGGCCCTCCATGCCAGGCATACTATTTCTACTTTATTTAAAGCAAAAAAAGGCTTTCTTCTCCCAGGACTCACCAACCGTGTCAGGGAATACAGAGTTAACTGTCAGCTTGACTTACATGACACCATGCCTGGAGGGGGGTGGGGCCAAAGGCTTCAGCATGTATCATTAAAATTGATATTCACAGAAGGTGATGAAACGTGTGTGCACTATAGGAAAAGTACATAGCATGTGTGTGTACTCTGGGGAATATGCCCCAGAGTTGGGAAGCTGGTTCTGCCACACCCCTTTATCTTCTGGACATGTCACTCATCCTTGCTGGGCTTCTTGCTTCCTCAGTCAAAAGTGAGGGGTTGAAGTCAGGCATGGTGACATATGCCTTTAACTCCAGCAATTGGGAAGCAGAGGCAGGAGGATCTCTATGAGTTTGAAGTCAGCCTGGTGTACATATGAAGTTTCAGAACAGCCTGGACTACACATACTGAAACCTTGTCAAAAGAAAGAGACAGAAGGAAAAGAAAGAAGAGGAGAGGGAAGAGGAGGGGAGGGGAGGGGAGGGCAGGGGAGGAGGGCAGGGCAGGGGAGGAGGGCAGGGCAGAGAAGAGAGGCTGGACTACATCAAGAATTATTCACTTATTCCAGAATGCTCTGAGAGATTCAGGTACGTGCATTAGGCATTCACAACTCCCACAAGAACTACAATGGCAAATGTCAATTATTCCAGCACTTGGAGGCTAAGGCAGGAAACCCACTCCAGGCTACCTTGGGCTACAAAATAAGGCACTGTCTCAAGAGAAAGACAGAGACGCCAAGAGAGAAAGAAAAGGTCAACAACACAGCTCAGCAGGTACAAGCATTTGCCATACAAGCCTGATGACCTGAGCTTGATTCACAGAATCCACGTGAATGTGAAATGAGAAGCGACTCCCCAAAGTTGTCCTGCAACTTCCACATGCACGCTGTGGCGTTCCTGCACCTCCACACACACCCACAACACACACATACCCAAGAGTGACAATCATTTCTTAAAACTGTCAGTATATATGAATTTATCTAGGCAGGTCTATGAATGGTACTAAACTGTCACACAAGTTATGACCCCAAAATAAAAACATCCTTCGTCCTCCCGAGCACTTACTGCGTGTGAGGCTCTGTTGTAAGTCTTTACATATAACAACTCACTGTAGTCTTCTCACTAACTTCTCTAGACCGGCTCAACATGTAGTCCAAGTGGGCTTGGAACTCTGCGTTGTTCTCCAGGCTGGCCTCAAAATCCCACTCCTACGTCCGCCTCCAAAACGCCAGGACGGCAGGCAGGTGCCACCACAGCAGCCTACAACAATCTTTCAGTACATACTAAAGCTATCCTCAGTTTGAAGATCGTCACAGTCGATGAGGAAGTGCTCAGGCTCTAGGAGGAGCCCTTGAGCTCAGGCGTGTGTAACAGAGCTAACCCAAAGACAGATCTGAATCTAGCTGATGAAGTCTAAGATCACAGATGCCATGTCAGTCAGGAAAAGGGGAACACCATGTCAGGAACAGACTCACACACCATTTGCTAAATACAAGGAGAAAGGACTGAAAGGCTACATCAGCACAAGCCCGGGTGTTCCATGTTGACTGGCAACACACACACACACACACACACACACACACACACACCTCTTTTAAACTACTATCCACTGTGCAGACAAACTGCATCCCTAGAGGTACTTGAGACCACCTAAATGAACAACCACCACCGACCCCAGGTTAGAAAAAGGAAAGAAAACAAACTGCAAAGCTAGCTCCCAATTTTTTGCAGCCACCAGTTCGAACAAGTTGCACCATCACGTGGAGACCAGGAAGGAGTCCTTCAGATACAGCTGAAAGTCGTCTTGCTGCTCAATCCCTCCTGCCCCAAATACCGAGCCACAGAACGGCTTGACAGAAGGCTGCAAAGCCCAAGTGGACACTGGCTGTCAAAAAACTTCCATGGCATCTTACAGGGAAGGCTGCTGAAACTTTATCCCCAACTCCGCCGACCTTTCTCCAATTAGTCCGTGTAATGAGAAGAAAGCGGGAAGAGGAAGGAGGGAGGTCCGAAAGGAGGACGAGCCTCGGGTGAAGGGCTCACATCTTTTCAAGGGTGATGCAACAGGGTCAGACAGAAGAGGAGGAGCTCGCTGCACAGAAGCCAGCCAGCGTCGCCGCTGCAAATCTAAGGGGACGCGGGTAATGCAGCACCGGGCGGCAGAGCGAGCAATGGAGCGGGGGCCGGGCGGCTCCCGGGGCGGCAAGGGGCCTGGAGGGCTGGGCAGCGGTGCCCGGGAGGAACCGGCTGGCCCGGCTGGGCTCCGTGCGGGTCCTGGGCCACGAGAGAGCCCGGTGACCCGCGCAGGGGGAGGAGGGGCGGGGGAGGAACGCAGCGCCGACAACGGCCGGCGACGGTCGGACCGGGGCCGGGCGGCCGGGCGCGGCCTGGGAGAGACGGGGTTTCGGGAAGGGCCCGGGTCCGCGGGGTGTAGCTCTCACCGGGACAGGTGCTTCAAGATCTGCTTCTTAATGATCCCGGCCATGCCGCAGCGGCGGCCCGCCTGCAGGGCGGGCAGGCAGCCGTGGCCTCCTCAGCTGTGGCGGAGAGGCGCCCCCCTC